TCCTTCTTGATTTTCTCTCTTGATGCGGATAGAAAGAAAGAAACGAGACTGATACTTACGTTCTGTGTGTGTGCTCCCAGAAGGAGACCACGACCCCTTAAAATAACCAGAATTATGTTAATTACTTAAGTTTTAGTATTTCCAATTTGACCCCTCATCAAATTAGAAATTGCTCAATGGTCTCTACACAATTTTATTTTCATGACATATCCCTTTAGCCAAAACTTTAATTTAGTCGGATCGCGTTATTATTTGGCTTAATAAATAATGATCCTAACACATTTAAATTATGTATTATATATATATATATATATATATATATATATATATATATATATAACCCAAATTTTGCCAACCATCTTCCACTAGTCACAAATATATATGTCCTTACAACCTTACAAATGTGTTAGACTTTATGAGCTCAAAATTGTCATTATATTCCTTTAGCATACTCCAAAAGTCCTATCCATTAATCATATCAGAATATAGAACCAAATAAGCTTTTCATTGCATCATCGCAACTAAAACCAACAATGATTACTCATCCTGACATAACCAAATGACATGGATTTATCATGAAATGTGTAGCATGAAAAATTACGTGAAGGTGATCTGTACACGTCTATTTTCAACTGGTCCAAACTTTAATTTATTGAGATCGATATAATATCCTTAATGTATAAAGTGTAATAAATGAACGAAAAAACCGCATATCTATAGATAACCAAATATGTCCAAAAAACAATGTATACATATATGAAATTAAATATAGAACATAAAATATATGAAAGTGACAACTCCCATTAAACCATAAATTCCTCAAACTGTAAAACACCCATGTGAGCAACATGCTCATGAAAGACCTTGGGCGGAAGTCCTTTAGTTAGAGGATCTGCTATCATGGAGTTTGTCCTTAAGTGTTCTATGAAAATTTGTCCACTTTGTACTCTTTCCTTAATAATACAGTTGATTTGTTGTCACAATATAATTTAAGTTGTCTTTCAATGCCTTTCACAATTTGCAACCCTGTGACAAAATTTCTCAGCCATATTCCATGATTTGATGCCTCATAGCATGCTACAAATTCTTGACATCCTGCAAAATCTAAGTCAGAAAACCCAGCGATCTCCAACTGGTCTGACCTCCTGTATGTGAACATGTAATCTTTTGTTCTCTTTAAATATCTTATGACCCTTTTTGCTGCTTTCCAATGGTCTATTCCTGGATTGCTAAAATATCTGCCTAGAATCCCAATTATGTATGTTATGTTTGGATGTGTACATACTTGGACATAGATCAAACTCCCTACAACTGATGCATATGGAATCTTTTGCATTTTCTCAAATTCCAAATTCCCCTTTGGGCACTGATTGGGACTAAACTTGTCTCCCTTTAAACTTGTAATACACACAATCATCAACAATATTCATCTTGAAGCCAAATGAGTTTCATACCTTCTGGTAATGGGACAAGTTCTCAAACCTTATTGTCTTGCATGGACTTATACTTCTCTTTCATTGCTTCAATCCACTTTTGAAAGTTAGAACCTTGTATAGCTTGACGGAAGTTAACTGGGTCATCTTCCATTATATCATTATTTTCCTCATGTTCTTGAAGAAATACCATATAATCATCCGAAATAACACTTCTTCTTTCTCTAGTGGATCTCTGCAAAGTGGAATGACAAATCATACTCTCTACCATATCTTTAAGAGTGTAACACAAGCCTAAACGTCACGATTTGAGTGTTACCTGAGCACTTGTGCCATAATACACCTGAGTTAGTATTTTCAATTTTACATTTAGTACCACATGATTCTGTATTAAGGGTTTCATTATAAGTGGTCACAATATCAAGTAAATATTGATTATCATAAATCAAAAGTGAACCAGTTCCAACAATATCTGAATTAAAAGACAAGCTGAACTTATTGTTTTCAAATGAACACAAATAACCTAATTTGTCCAAATAAGAAACTGAAACCAAATTTCGTCTAAATGACAGCACAATAAAAGTGTCTTTCAAATCCAAATAAAAAAGCAGTACTCAATAACAATTTAAAATGCCCTATAGCTTCCACCTCTATCAATTTGCCATCTCCAACATAAATCCATCTTTTAGAATCAATTGGTTTCCGGTAGTTTAGACAACCCTTTCTTTTCACGCCAAACATGATATTTAGCACATTTCTTCTTTACGTGTCGAGTCTTATTGCAAAAGAAACATTTGTTTTCTTGAGTTTGTTTCTTTTGTTCTGGACCCTTAACAGCTTCTTTCTCGAGATCCTCTGATCTCTTTCTTTTGCCCTTAGCCTTGGAGGTGCTTGCAAAATGAGCATTTTCTGTCTTGTCTTGCTTTAGTCTTTCCTCTTCTTGTACGCAATGTGAAATGAGCTCATTAAGAGACCATTTATCCTTTTGACAGTTGTAAGATACCTTAAATTGATTAAACGTTGTAGGAAGAGAAATCAACACCAAATGAATGAGCAAGTCTTCTGAGAGTTAAAGCTTTAGTGCCTTGAGTTTAAAAACAATATTAGACATGCTCATAATATACTCCCTGATATTTCCTTTACCTTGATATTTCATGGAGATCAAGTTCTGAAGAAGAGTGTTTGCCTCCGCCTTATTGCTTTTTGCAAAGCGCTGCTCAATTTCAGCAAAGAATTCTTTGGCACTTGTGATGTTTTCAGAAACAGTGCCCTTAAACACCTCCGGGATGTCACGCTTAATGATCATTAGACTCATGCGATTTGAGCGATCTCACTTCTCATAATCTCTTTTCTGTTCAGAGGTACTTGAATCCGTAGGAGTAAGGGGTTGCTCAGTCCTTAACGCAAGATCCATATCCATGCAACCAAGAATAATATCAATGTTCTCTTTCCGAGTCCTTAAAATTTGTTCCATTGAGGACCGAAACAGAATTTAAATTGGCAGATACAGAAACAATTGTAGCTGAATTTAGAACACGAGAAATAAACTAATTATGCTCACATTATGTAAAAAATAAATAATATATATTCAAATAGTGGTTTAACTCATCTCAAGACACCCAATGCACCATCAATATCAAGTCTTTGGACAATAATATTAACTGCTAGAGGTATCTTGTTGTAATAATCAAACATTGACAATAAAGCACGTCCAACAACAAACCAGTATTTGGATTGATTTATCTTCGACAAAACAAATCCTTATAATTATCACATGTTTATCATTACAAGTGTGTATGCAATTCTGCCAAATATTAATCTTTCTTTAGGCTGACTAATACTCACATGAATATACACAAATACTAACATTCAATATTTTTCATGAACTTGTCCAATTCAAGAAAAGTTACTTTGGTGACTTCTTGACTCAATTTGCTCACAAAAAATATTAAACTACCAAAAATTAAATATTTTATTTATATAACAAAACCAAATATTTTATATTTGCAAACTAATTCAAAAGAGAATCACCTCATTAAAATTCTACTAATAAATCAAATGATGAAAAAAGACCTCATTTTTCACCAATACATAAAGGATGAACATCTCTCTAAAATCACACTAGGGATGAAACAAAGATAGTTCTGAGTCTCTTTAGCATACTGCTCTAAACCCTAAAAGGGATTAAACAGTAATCACTCAAACCCTAAACAAGAGAATTTAACATCAAATTTTTCTAAAGGCAATAAAATAAGAACAGTCACACTTGTGGAAACATTCACTATTTACCTAAGATTTTTTGTGTTGGGAATTCCCCAAACACCACCCCCAATTCCAAACTCATCCATATCCACCATGAAAAGAAAACGAAAACAAAAATCCATAAAATTAAATAAAAACAAAAACAAAAGATTCAAAGAGAATAAAGAATCCAATACAAGAAAGATTGAAATTTGAAACACTATTTCTTTCTCAGTAAAACTTGAAACTTAAACTGAAACAAAAGGAAAAAATGAAGAAGAAGAAGAATCCATAGCTTCCTCCACGATTCCATCAGCAAGTAGAATCAAATTGGGGATGTTACCCGCAAATTTAAATTTTAGGGTTCACAAAAATTAGAGATTATTCTCCACTTAGGGTTCATAAAATTGGGTAATTTGAATGGTTTAAAACAAAATTAATCCTAATTTTCATAACTAGGGTTCTATAAATTAAACAGTCATGAATCAAATATGGACAACTCTGATACCAATTGTTGGAAAATTAATAATAATAATAATAATCTTAATTTTGATTCTAACGATCAAACATAAACGTAATCCCATACTAATAAACATGCTGTAAACTGAATGCGAAAGCGTACTTGAATTAGCAATAATGATGATGTCTTTGTAAAACACTTGTATTGATTTTATGGTCTTCCACTGAAGAAGCACATGTATTTCCCTCTTAATTTTCTCTCTTGATGGGGATAGAAAGAAAGGAACGGGACCGATACTTACGTTACGTGTGTGTGCTTCCAGAAGGGGACCACGACCCTTAAAATAACAGGAATTAGGTTAATTTCTTAAGTTTTAGTATTTTCAATTTGACCCTCATCAAATTAGAAATTGTTCAATAAGCCTCTACACGATTTTATTTTCAATGGCATATACCTTTAGCAAAAACTTTAATTTAGTCAGATCAGCTTTATTATTTAGGCTTAATAAATAATGACCCTAACATATTTTAATTATTTATCATATATATATATATATATATATATATATGACCCAAATTTTGCCATCCACTACAAGTAATATTATCCAAGTAATATTATCCAAGAGTGGAAGTGAAACACGACCCGACAAACAAAACATTAGTAATTTGGTTTTAATTTCTTGAGAAGATGAACACACTCTCACTGGACATAACATACATACATACAAGCACATATTATGGTAGTAAGTTAAAGTTGTGAACAAGTTATAAGGCTTAGTGGTACTGGAACTGGTCTCAAATGAGTGTGTGCTTCTAAGAAATACAAGACTGGTGACACAAGACATGGGAACCCAAATAAGTGGGAGTCTAGAGTTGACCAAATGAGTGAGCAAGATACGCCAGTGCTCCTACAAGGGGTGAGTTAATGTATGTGGCTGGCTCTGATTGCTCATAATCTGACCGTTCGTCTGGGAACCTATCATGTTGGTCCGGGCCACCAACAATAGCCCCCACCAGGATGTTTGGGTTGGGGGATTGTGAATTCATCACACTGAACCCTGCAGAACACTGGATCTTTCCAGGGTGTACAGCAATCGACGGTAGAGATGAGCCCCTGTGGTGTATTCTTCTTGGGTACCTTGGACCATACCCCACCATGTACGACATCTTTAAGGGGTTGTCTCCAAGCAAGTAATCCACCTGGAAATAGAATAATTAAAAGAATCAACTTTAATTAAAAACACAATTATACAAGTCATAGTAAAAATCTAGAACATTTTTTTTAAGACACATTTTATGGTACTGGTTAAAATCTATGGAAATGCACGTTCCCAACCTGTTTCTTAGCTATTGTCCGGAGTCTCTTTGGGGTTACTGTAATTCCACCACAGTTAACAACCATATGGGCTGAGGTCAAGTATTTGGCATATGTTAACAGTAGGAAGGAGGTGGATGTGACATACTGCATGTTGCTATCACTCATCTTGAAAAGAAGCCCACCTAGTATATAACAAGTAAGTAACCGTTATGATTTGGACCACAAAGACAGTTTCCACTGACTGGGAGAGGGTAAGTAAAGGAAGGAAAATGGTGTTCACCTGGGGTATACTGGGTAGAAGAGAAAGAGGACCCAGGAATTAGAGAACAAACGAAATTGTCCGCATGGCCCTTGTAATCATGGAGGGATTGTACCCTTTGAACCAGGAATTCCTAAAATGGAACACAAAATTGTAAATTTTGAAAACATGATATGTTTCTAATTTTGATTGTAATATACTGAAGAATACATGTGGCGGAATATGGACCTTGGAAAGAAGTATTCTTGCTCCAGCGTGTTTGTTATCCCACCCAAAGGTGTTGTCAAACTCTGCAGCCCCAAGGATCTGGCCATTAACTTGAATGTAGTTTAGGTACATTGGATTCTTGGTAGCCTTGTGCAGCCAGGCAGCACCCCACAACAGCTCATCCTACCATATTATTCACCAAAAGAATTTGAGTAATGAGTATGTCTCCTCTCACTATACTCAACAACATCCCTCAAGTATATGGAACAATTGAAGGTTTACCTGATAACCAGAGTACGAGCAATAGAAGGGGCACACAAAGGGTTTCAAGGCATTGCTGTAGGATCCCCTGTACTTATCAGCAAACTGAAACACCTACACCCACAAACAAAATGCAGTCTTAAGATTTAGTTGGGAGCAATTTTCTCTACTGAAAATTGAATCAAAGGCCTACCCTGATGGCCCTTCTCACTAAAGTTTTTGAATATGTAGGGTCAGTTCTTCTAAAAACCAGAGAAGCAGCTGCAAGAGCTGCAGCAGTTTCCGCGGCAACTTCTGAACCAGGAGTGTTAGCATCTATTTTAAACACACTTCTTGGAGTGTCCATGTCCTCTGGTCTCTCCCAACAAGCATGGTCCTTCTTAGCATCCCCGACCTGCAAAGCCAAACCAAACCAAACCAAACCAAACCAAGATCAGAAATTTAAGGTTCCCATTATCTCCCTAAAGAAGACTTACTCCATTTTTAAAAGAAAAAAAAAAAAAAAAGGTAAAATGCATAAAAGTTAAAAGGGTATGTGTAACTTCTCTTCAGAAAAAGAGGTACGGGTAAGTTTGTTTCAGCAAGAGTGTGTATGTAACTGACCTGAACATAAATGATGTTAGGATGTGCAGTAGCTTTGAGAAGATAATCAGTGCCCCAACGAATGGCTACTCTGGCATTCTGCAGCTCACCTTTCATAAGCCAACCAAACTCAATAACGCTCCACGAGAGCATGGTGGTGGTGAAGGCCATGGGAAAGCCAAATTTGACATTGTCCCCAGCATCATAGTATCCTCCAACCAAATCAACCTGCATTGCATATTCACGGCAGAATAAGCAACAAAATACACAAACAACATGGGCATGACTATGAGACGGTAAGATATAGACATACATGCATAGCTGCGCCATCAGAAAGACCAGAGTCCCTCCTCCAAGACATTCTCTGGTTAGGAGGGAGTTTCCCTGACCTCTGGCCTTCAAAGAAGAGAATGGATTTGGTGAGAGCATCTCGGTAGTTATGGGTGACAAAGCGAGGGTGGCGACGGTGAATGGGGTGGTTGTAATGGAGTTGGAAGGCACTGGCATGTAGCAGAATAACAGAGAGAAGGGAAAGCAGAGTGAAGGAAAGGGAGAAAGTCATTTTGAAGATGCAATCGGAACGCAACGACCAAACTGCCACCTGCAATTGACACTGCGGAGAGTGTGTGCTCTTTAGATGTCCAATCTCTGATTTTTATAAAGCAAAAGCTGCTGCGACCTCTCTAACGTCCTGCTTCGTTACAATACAACAATTATTAGGTCCACATCCTACTCCTACAACACTCTAGTGTTTTTTTGCGTTTCATGCCTTCGCTTTTATTTTCATTTTTTTTAATAATAACTAGACAGGATTCGCAACAGTCCTTTTTTTTTGGATTAAGAACTGATTTCAAGTTAAATTTTAAATAAAAAGTTTTGCAAAATTAATAAAAGTCATTTCTGTACTTTTATTTTTTAATTTTCAAATTTACTCGAAAGAAGGGAAAGACTGAAAATATAAGCGTGGAACCTACAACCAAAGTTAATCTCCTAACTTTGAAGAGGAAAAAGTAGGGGAAAGAAAAGAGTGAATTGGAAGAATAGATTATCCTTATTTTTACGTATTAAGATATTTTTGTCATTTATATAATCTTTTTTGTAAAAATACTTTTGTCACATAAAAATAAAATGTTATATTTTTAATTACTATTATTATTATATTAATATATTATCAACTTGTTAAAAATCATTCTCTATGTATATTTTCAAAGTAATTTATGCAAAAGTTAGTAATTACTGTGATAATTTACAATTCCACGAACATTTAAAAAAAATATTATTAATAAGTATTTATTGTTGATATAAATGGTTAAATAATAAAAATTAAATTAAATATCTTTTAGAAATAATTATTATAAAATAAAAATTAGGATGAGAATTGAAATTGAACAAAATCATTAAAAATTAGATAATCAATGCATATATTATTTATTGAAAAAAGGTATACTCACTGTATTTAATTAAATTATTTCAAAAAACCTTTTAAAAAAATATATTTGATCTAACTTATTGTATTTAAAAAAAGAAGAAAAAATTTTAGGTGAATTTTTTTTTAATATATCATCCATTTTATTAATTATTTCTCCATACTCATCTTCTATGGTTGTGATTTTATTTAAAAATCACATTTTGTACAAAATATAATTTCACAACGAAATTAACAAAACCAAGAGGTTACGTTACGTCCGTACAGCTTTCCTCTTCGGTGCAAAATTCTTTGAGCAAAACTATAGTAAATTATTTCTAGGAAAAAACTATTTTGGAACCTTTCTTTTCATACAACCGCTTTTAATAATATAATAATAATGTTTAATAATTTAAAATTATTTTTAACTTTCTTTTAAGTGTTTTTATATTTATTATATTAACAAATTAGGTTGTATTAGAAGTTGTATTAGGTTATATTTATTATATACGGTTTCATGACTCTTATTTCTATGTATTTTTTTTTATAAACCCATCATAGGAACTGGTATGTGTATAGAGATTGAGTCTGGTCGATCTCAGGTCTAACTATGAGTAAAGTGGGTTAAGATAAACTTATTCGAGGATATGAACTTGATTGTTACCTAACGGGCCCAAGGTGTAGATAATAGTTGAGAATAAAATATTATTGGGTCGATAAATACGGAAAAAAAGGAAAATTTGATTATAAAAGGGGGGAGAAAACCTAAGAAGGCATATTTCCCTTGATCTAGAACATTGGCGCCCACCGTGGGGCAGGTAAAACTTTTCCTACTTCACATTCAAAATGATCATGGTGACTCGTACCAACAACCGCAACAATCAAGACCCTAACGGGGTTAACCCAAACATCGCAGCAATACAACTAATCATTGACCAAATGGAGGAGTTGCGGCAACAAACTAAAGAGGCCCAACGCATGGCAACAGAGGCGTCTCAGGTGCAAGACGAGTTGCGGCGACAAAATGAGGAGTTACAAGCTGCTATCGGACAACGAGTCCGATCAAACTCAAGTGATGATGAGGAAGAGATAGTATAGAAGGATTTTCAGCCTTTTGTGCAGGCCATCATGGAGGAGTATCTACCCCCACATTACATTATTCCTAAGATAGATTGGTTCACTGGAACTCAAGATCCGTTAGCACATTTGAAGGCTTTCAGGGCACAAATGATTATCAGTGGTGGGTCCGATGTTGTGCATTGTAAAGTTTTTGTAGGTACCTTATGGGGTACTGCATTGAATTGGTTTAGTGGTCTCCCCGAACAGTCTATATCCAGCTTCGATGACTTGGCTAAAGTCTTTGTTGCCCATTTTGCTGCTAATAAACAAAGGGCACCCAAGACAAGTGATTTATTTGATTTGCGACAGGGACGAACCAAATCCATAAGAGCGTTCTTGCACCAATTTGGTAGCATGACCGTTAGGATCCTACCTCCAAATGAAACCATGTTTGTGGACGCCTTTATGAAAGGGTTGAGGGCGGGAACTTTCATGGAGTCTTTATGTTGGTATCGCGCAACGGAATGTTTGTGTGTAGGATAAAACCAAGAGGGGGGGTGAGTTGGTTTCTTATAAAAATTAGGGTTTTAAATTTTTTTTCCCAAATTTCACGAATTAAAATGCTTGTAAAGTAAAGAGATAAGGGAATGAAAATTACACAAGTAATTTATACTGGTTCGGATCAAAATACCATATGTTCAGTTGTTAATCACTCTAAAAGAGGATTAACGCTGTCACTATAATAACAGTTTAAAACATATTACAAATTACAAAAGATAAGGATTAGAAAACACCTCTCTTGAGTCACACAAAAGATGAACACCTCCTTTGAATCCATAAAGGATGACGAAACAAGCTTCTAATGCACATAGATAATAACTAATAAAAACGGTAAAATAGAATAAGGGATATGAAAGAACCTTCGAAGCAAGCTTTTTATAAAATATTCTTGAAAATGGCGCTTTTTGGCAAACCCCACGCTCTACAATGCAGTTCACTCTTCTCTCGAAGCACTTTAGAATGCTTTCTAAGAACTCTAAGACTCTGGAAATGTTTCAGAGGGGTCCTAGGAGAGTATTTTGAGAATTATGCAGTTGGAGAAGTTGTAGAAGGTTGTTAAAACAAGGAGAAGGTCCTCCCTTTTATAGAAATTCGCTAAACGAGACGGCGGTCTCGCCCTTAGCTAAGGGCGAGACGGCGATCTCGACCCTTTGGGTGTAATTTTTATTTGTCCACTACTACAAATAAGGCTTTCCACGTCGGTTATGGAAGGCCTTCAACGGCGGTTCCAGAGCCGACGTTGAAAGTCCCGACTTTCAAATCGAAAATTTTTATTTATTTCCAACCCCTCTCTATTTATCTAGAAATCCCCCTCTCTTTTATATTATATTTTTATTATTTATCATATTTTTTTGAGGTTTAGAGCATTACCAAATTAATTTTTTGTCATCGACGAATTCGAACCCAGTACCTTAGTATTGGAGGCTGATACTCCAACCACTAAACTACTCGAATTTTTTTATAGTAACTTACAAATAAATTATATTTATATACAAATATATATATATATATATATATATATATACGTGTAAATATATAAATATAAATATATAAATACAAATATATTTATATATTTTGATATATTTATATAATTATATATTTATATGTTAGATGTGAGGGCACGTCGAAGGTGAAAGTGTGTGTCGAGTGAGTTTTCAAAATTTGATGCCAAATTTGTGAGCGGGTCTCTTTATATGTGTTTATAATTTAATCACAAAATATAATATTTATAATTTATTTATATAATGATATAAAATAAATTTGGGAAACGCATCATCCGCTCAAACGAAAAATACTAATTTTCGCTCAAGCGAGGCTTGAGCTAGTGAATTTCTATGAGTTTTAACGTATTTTCACCCAAGCGAGAGTCAATCTCACTTTCACCCTCGAACGCGCCCTCACATCCAACATATAAATATATAACTATATAAATATAAATATATATATATATATATATATATATATAAATATATATATATATATAAATATATATATATATATATATAAATATATCAAAATATATAAATATATTTGTATTTATATATTCTATATTTATATATTTACATGGATATATATTTATTTGTATATAAATATAATTTATTTGTAAATTATTATAAAAAAATTATAGTAGTTTAGTGGTTGGAGTATCAATTTTCAACTCTAAAATACTTGGATTTGAATCTTGTCAGTGACAATTCTCTAACTTAAGTGAATTTTTGATTAAAAAAAATAAAAACACTTTCCAAAAAATATATATAAATAAATATATATTTACACGGATATATATTTATTTGTATATAAATATAATTTATTTGTAAGTTATTATCGAGAAAATTACAGTAGTTTAGTGGTTGGAGTATCAACTTTTAATTCTAAAATACTTGGGTTCAAATTCATCGAGTAACAATTTTCTAACTTAAGTAAATTTTTGGCTGAAAAAAATAAAAACACTTTCCAGAAAATATATATAAATAAATATATATTTACATGGATATATATTTAGTTGTATATAAATATAATTAATTGGTAAATTATTATCGAGAAAATTACAGTAGTTTAGTGGTTGGAGTATTGACTTTCAACTCTAAAATACTGGTTTCGAATCTCGTCAATGACAATTCTTTAAATTAAGAGAATTTTTGGGTGAAAACACATTAGTGTCAATTAAAAGACTTTGGAAAGTGCTTTCTACATCGGTTGACTAAGAACCGACGTAGAATGTGTCCAACATTCAACTTTCAATGTCGTTTTTTAACCAACCGACGTTGAAAGTGTATTTAACGTCGGCTCAGCTTTAACCGAAGTTAAATGGCGACGTTGAAAACATATTTTGTAGTAGTGTTCGTGTACAAAAAAGCCTTCCTATTTTAGTATGAGGCCTATTGATCAATCATAGTGACCTTTAAGGCCTTGTCCATCTTCGAACGGAAGTTTTCTGCTCTTTATTTTGAGGTCGGGCAAGATTTGGGATCTACAACTACCCTCCCTTCACCTGACTAACCAACTGTTGGCTTAATATGCCAAAAAGATTGGCTGAA